CGGCGGTTAGAGAGCCCTGTGCCAGGGCCAGCAGGAGGCGAGGTGGTTACGGCGACTGAACTCCCCCATGGCAGACGGTGGTTCAAGTTCCAGACTCGTTGGCTTGAAAATCATGCCGGGCATGTGTGACCAAAATCCCAGAAGGAGGATGGAGGAGAAGGGATTCCAGCATGGCCATCTCCCCTGGGGGGTGATTTCTCACTTTCCCTTTCTGTTTCTTTCTGGCAAGCGCACGTGCCTATAGCAAAAACCTAAAAAGAAAAAAAAAAGGAGTCCTGTGCTAAACAAGGCCCCGTCCTCCCCAGTGTCATCGCCAGCATGCTGTGTCTGGGACCAGCAGATGGCACAATGGGTACATTGCTGGACTCTCACCTAGTCGACCACGGTTCGAGTCCCAGCCCAGTGGCTTTAAACTCACATGGCGCACTTGTGTATATACCCAAGATCCCGAGAGGAAATCGAAGGAGAGGCCACCTCCTGTGCGGGGTGATTTCTCACTTTCTGTCTGTCTCTCTGGCAAGCGCACATGCCCTAGAGCAAAAACCTCTCTAAAAAGAGGGCATGACAGGAATGGGGAGGAGAAAGAGGAGGAAGTCCTCTACGGTCATGGAAACAAGTTTGTTTATTTGCTATGGGGCATGTGTGCTCCCCAGAGAGGGAGAAAGTGATGAAGCACCCCCTGGGGGGACGGCCACACCGCAATCCCTCCTCTTCTGCTCTCCTCTTGGGATTTTGCACACACACACATAACGTGCATGTCTTTCTTTCATTTTTTCTCTTTGGAGAGGTTTTAGGGCGCGTGTGCTCGCCAGAAAGACAGAGAGAGACAGAGACAGAAAGCAAGAAATCACCCCCCAGCGGGGGTGGCCACACCACAATCCCTTCTCCATTCTCTTGGGATCTTGGGCATGCACGCACACGCGCCCGGCGTGAGTTTAAGCCACCAGGTCTGGGACTCGAACCACGGTCGACTACATGGGAGTCCAGCGACATAGCCATTATGCTAATTGCTGGTCCTGTCATACATATTTTTCAAGCTACCAGGTGTGGGACTTAAATCATACAGTTAGCCACGTGGAATCCAACTGCCTTAACAACCAGGCCACCTGCTGGCCCAGACAAATCTATTTTTAATTTAATCATGATGGGGCCTAACGAGTTCCGTGCCCCAGAACCGGACAATTGTTCACTATTATGTCAGCAAGGGCTAGACTGTGGCCCAGTGGTCAAATGCAATGCTCTGTGAGGCTGACCCTCAGGGGAAGGTTCCAGGTCCATGCCTGGACACCTCCCCGAGTATGTATCACACGCTCACGCCTGTGACCCGGGGCTGCTGAGGCCGGGGGCGGTTCACAGTGTGAAGACTCTGAGGGGTGCTGTCTCTGTCTCCTCTGTGCATGGGAGAAGTAAATAAGCTTAAACAAGACAAAACACCTGTGAATTTTTTTTGTGGCATGGTAGTTAAGGAGGCTGGATCCCACATGGCTGACTGCGTGGTTTGAGTCCTGGGTCTGGTGGGTTCAGAAACACTCCAGGCACATGTGTGGGCCCAAAATCCTGAGAGGAGAATGAAGAAGGGACTGCAGCATGGCCATCCTCTCTAGGGGTGTGTTCTCATTTTTCCTCGTTTTGTCTCTCTCCAGCAAGCACATGCAACTTAAAGCAATTTTTTAAACTTTATTTTTTAAAAGAATTATTTTTAAATTTTATTATTATTTTTAAAAATTGCTATAGGGTATGTGTACTCGCCAGAGAGAGAGACAGCGGGGGAAAGAGAGAAAGCAAGCTGCCAGGCCTAGGACTTGGACTGCGGTCAGCCACGTGGGAGTCTAGTGCCTCCACCATGCCACCTGCTGGCCCCTGTAGTCAATTTTAAAAGAACTTGTAAAGAATACTATTATCTTTACAAGTTATATAATATAACATTGGGACCGGCAGATGGCATAATGGTTACATCACTGGATTCCCATGTAGTCAACCGTGGTTCGAGTCCTGGACCAGGTGGCTTAAAACTCATGCCAGGTTCGTGTGCGTGCGTGCCCAAGATCCCGGGAGGAGAATGGAGAAGGGATTGCAACATGGCCATCCCCCCTTGGGGGTGATTTCTCGCTTTCTGTCTCTGTCTCTGTCTCTCCAGTGAGCACATGTGCCCTATAGCAAAAATCCTCTCAAAAATTATTATTCATTCATAATAACCAAAAAGTGGCAATAATCCAATGTTCATCAACGGATGGATGGGTAAATAAAACGTAGAGTAGCTGCACAGTAGAGTATTAGCCTGGCAATAAGAAGAGATATTGTGGGGCCAGCAGGTGGTATGGTGGTTAAAGTACTGGACTCCCACACTGTCAGCCACGGTTCAAATCTCAGACCTGGAGGCTTGCTTTCTCACTTTCCCTCTATTTGTCTCTCTCTGGTGAGCACATGTGCCTTATAGCAAACGTAAATACAAAAGAAATAAAATACTTTTTAAAAGTCTTTTAAAAAAAGATAGTACTGGGACCAGCAGTTAGCGTAATAGCTATGTCGCTGGACTCCCACGTAGTCGACCATGGCTCGAGTCCTGGACCCGGTGGCTTAAACTCACGCCGGGCGCATGTGCGTGCGTGCCCAAGATCCCGAGAGGAGAATGGAGGAGAAGGGATTGCGGCGTGGCCATCCCCCTGGGGAGTGATTTCTCGCTTTCTGTCTCTCTCTGTCTGTCTGGTGAGCGCACGCGCCCTATAGCCAAAACCTCTCCAAAAAGAAGATCCTACTGACACATGGATGAACCATAAAAATGTGACGCTAAGTGAGAAGAGGCAGTAACACGGAGCCCCCGTGAACATGACTCCACTTACACGGCTATCCCGCCCAGGCCGGTAACACGGAGCCCCTGTGACCGTGGTCCCACTTACACGGATATCCCGCCCAGGCCGGTAACACGGAGCCCCGTGACCGTGACCCCACTTACACGGATATCCCGCCCAGGCCGGTAACACGGAGCCCCCGTGACCGTGACCCCATTTACACGGATATCCCGCCCAGGCCGGTAACACGGAGCCCCCGTGACTGTGACCCCACTTATATGGATATCCCGCCCAGGCCGGTAACATGGAGCCCCGTGATTGTGACCCCACTTACACAGATATCCTGCCCAGGCCAGTAACACGAAGCCCCGTGACCGTGACCCCACTTACACGGATATCCCACTCAGGCCAGTAACACGGAGCCCCGTGACCATGACCCCACTTACACAGATATCCCGCCCAGGCCAGTAACACGAAGCCCCGTGACCGTGACCCCACTTACACGGATATCCCACTCAGGCCAGTAACACGGAGCCCCGTGACCGTGACCCCACTTACACGGATATCCAGCCAGGCCGCTCTAGAGACAGAAAGCGCGTTAGTGGTGGCTGAGCATTGGGGCGTGACGGGTTGAAGTGCACGGTTATTTTTGGGGTGATAAAATGTTCTGATATTGAGTCACTCTGTGAATACACTAAAACCATTCAATTGCATGTGTTAAATGGGTGGATTTTATACATGGAATGATCTCAGTAAGTTGTTTAGTTTGTCACCTTTCCTCATTGGGAAAGGCTTCTGAGGTGACATTGTTCTTTGTAATTGGCTCGAAGCTCTCAGATAGTAACATGGCATTTTACCGTGCAAAGCCCTCTACAGTCTGGACCTCAATTGTCACAAAACCCCTATGGTTTAGATTCTGACGACCCCACTTGATAGGTGAAGAGACAGAAGCAGAGAGAAATTAGGTGACCCGCTGCGGGTCACACAGCTGATAGGTGGCAGGCCTGGGATTCAAGTCCCTGGTGTGTCTTAAAGCCTTTGCCCTTAACCAACGAACCATACCGTATGTCGCTTCTGTCCAGCCTCCAAATTCCTGCTCTGTCCCAGATCTGGAAGATGACCCAAAGCAAGACAGAGGATGTGGGGATGGACACACCCAAAATGAAGCCATGGGAAGGGCACCCCGGGTGCAGAGGGGAGCCATGGGCCTCCTGAGGGCTGCCCCCAATTCAGGATTCCCAGACTTCAGAGGCACAGAAGCCAGGAGGTACAGAGAGGTTCATTGTCAGAGACTCTGATACAGTAAGTCTGAGGTGGGGACCAGAAACCAATGTTAAGCTCCCTGGCGCCAGCAGGGGTGTGGTGGGCCCCACATGGATTACTGTGTGGTTCGAATCCTGGACCTGGTAGCTTGAAAAACATACTGGGTGTGTGCGTGCCCAAAATCCTGAGAGGAGAATGAAAGGGAAAGGATTGCGGTGTGGCCATTCCTCCAGGGGAGTGCTTTCTCACTACCCCACAAGCTCTCTGACTCTGGTGAGTGTACACTCCCTATAACAGACTGAAGAAAAGTCCTTGCATGGTCCCAATGTGGGTGGTCCAGGGACTACCCTGTGACATGCCCACTGCAACTTCCAGATCAGACAAGATCTGGGTAAGCTCCTGCCCCATCCTGGCTTCCCTCCTTTCCTTTTTCCTTTTGGAGAGATTTTTGCTGCATGGCGTGTGTGCTCGCCAGAGAGGTAGAAAGCAAGAAATCACCCCCCAGGGAGGATGGCTACACCACAGTCCAATCGCTTCCGTTTTCCTCCTGGGATTTTGGCATGCATGAATACCCTCCTGGCATGCGTTTCAAGCCTCTGGATCTGGGACTCAAATCGCAGTCAGCCATGTGGGAGTCCAGTGCTTTAACTACTATGCCACCTGCTGGCTCCAATATCCCTAATTTCTAGTTGAAGAATGAGGCAAACAGGGGTCAAGAAACACGCCCAAGGTCACTGAGCTAGAAGCCAGCAGTCCTCAGGTCTGCACCGAGCGAGCAGGTCCCGAGCGCAGCGCCATGCTTACTGACATCCGCTGCTGAGAATAGCAAGTGCCAGAGCCAGGCACAGGGCCCGATCTGCTCCAAAACCGTGGGAGCCTGAACTGAGTTGAACGCCTTCTGCCCCCGGAGAGAGGGACGGAGAGAAATCACACAAAGACTTCGCGGCCCATGATGTCTCATGCTTTTTATTTGATAAGACTCAACATCTTAAGCTCTCTAATGAGAACAGGATGTAAAAAAATAATTCAGAAAAAAATTCAGAATGTCGTCCTACTCAAAGCGTGGTGGGTGCACGGCCTGTCCACCTGCGTCGATGATCATGGATTTTCACTTCAGAACATGAAGTGGCGCAAGGAGACAGGAGACGGGCGTGTGCAGGTGGGTGATCTGGTCCCAGACGTCTCGCTCGCCTGCCCCTGGCTTTGGAACATCTCTCCAAGTCACTCAGTATCACTGGCACCTCAAAGACTCTCCCCCGCGTGGACGACTGGGAGAGAATCCACGTAGGGAGGACTCAATGAAAGAAGCCCGTGGGTATTATTTTCTAATTAAGGTGCCACATGGAAGGAAGCCCCGCCAGCCTAGCTCCAAATGATCTTTCAATTCAGGTCCTTAATCTCGCCCACCTTCCTTTGAGCACCATCCCAACCTCAGGTAGACCAGAAAGCCTTCTCTTCGAGCCCGAGGCTTTTCTGCCAAGCCAGATGGCTTCTGACCTGGACTGAACCAATGGGACTCCTGCGGGTCCGTTTCTCCCAGCAGGAGAACTGTGAAAATGGTACACTATGTGCAGTCTTTCGTCCTGTTCCCTGTCACACAGCTGCCCAGCTTTCAGTGGCTCAGAAGTTGAGAAGACAGCAGGGGAAAAAACACAGAACCATTCTGCAGACCAAACCAAGACCCAAGATACTAGGACACAAAAGATAACAAGGTCATCACCCAATAGGCCTAGGAGGCTTTCCGGAAATGGACAACCTTCTGAAATGCCAGCCGGAACTCTTCATTAAACACAGTGTAGATGATTGGGTTGATGAGGGAGTTCAGGTAGCCTAGCCAAGTGAAGAAGTCAAAGAGAGCCGGGTGGATCCAGCAGGAGTCCCGGCAGATAGGGAGGACCAGAGATGCCACAAAAAAGGGCAGCCAGCAGATGATGAAGGCCCCCAGGATGATCCCCAGGGTTTTAGTGGCCTTCCTTTCTCGAGCAGCAGAGATCCTCTTGCGTTCTAGGACACTATCAGCAAGCTTGATCCTCACATGGTTGAAAAAGAGAGGAGAGCCGGCCGAGTGAGGGTGTCCCTCGTGGAGGCTGGGATTGAGCGAGGAGAGAGAGGACCCTGCGGAGCCGGTGATGAGGTGGGCGGTGGTGAAGCGCTTCCCGTAGAGTGAGGGCGGGTTCAGGATGCGGTTCCGGGCCGCCCTGTAGATCCGGCCGTACAGGATGATGAGCAGCACAGATGGGATGTAGAAGGCCCCGCAGGTGGAGTAGATGGTGTAGGAGATCTGAGAGGTGTTCACCAGGCAGTCGGACATCTCCTCGCTGGCTTTAGCCTGCCGCCAGAAGAGGGGTGGGATGGAGATGCAAATGGAGATGGCCCAGACAGCGGCGATCATGGCGGCCGCGTGGCCAGCCGTCCGGCGCTTACTGTACTCCAGGGCATCGGTGATGGCCCAGTACCTGTCCAGAGCGATGACACAGAGGTGCAGGATGGAGGCCGTGCAGCACGTGATGTCAGAGGACAGCCAGATGTCACACAGGACTTGGCCAAAGTTCCAGGTGTGGGTGGTGGTATATGCGATGCTGATGGGCATGACCAAGATGGAGACCAAAAGGTCTGTTGTGGCCAAGGAGCCAATAAGGTAGTTGGCAGGGGTGTGGAGCTTCCTGGTGAGCAAGATGGTGGTGAGCACAAAGGCGTTGGAGAACACCGTGGCCAGCGTGATGATGGAAAGGACCACGGCGAGGGAGATCTTGAGCGCCTGGAGAGTCCCCGGGTCCCAAGCCTCAGGAGTTTCTGTCGTGTTCAGGGATCTGTTGGAGGCCTCCTGGGGAAGGCCTTCTGCTGATTGGTTCAGTGGGGACATGCTAAGTGGCTCTCTCTTCCCAGACCTCCACGTACAGGGCTCCTTCTTTCACAGTTGTCCTGGCTGCATAACAGTGTCATCTTCCTTCTTGCGGGCAGGAGCCATACATGGGAACGGTCGCAGAGAAGGGGTCACGAGACGGGACTATTTAAAGAACATGCAGGCAACTGCCAGCTGGGAGTGAAGGGTCCTTCCTGAATCAGATGACCCCCCAGGTGTCTCGCTCCTCCGGAACTCTGGCCAGCAGATGGTGGAGCCCAGGGGACACATGCTGAGTTTGCTAGACGATGATCAGGGTATCGCACCACTGTGGGCAGCCATCTGGGATTCTTGCCTTTGACGCTGTGGCTCTATGCAGAGCTGGAGACATCAGTGTGTTGAATGGGAACTTCAGCATCTCCCCCATCCTTACTGAGAAGATTCTGGACTTCAGGTTGCCCCTGGGGAGACTGTAAAAACTAGAGATGAAAAGAAGGACACACTGATTCAGAGAAGTGTTCCAGTCAACAGCTCAGTTTCCCAGCTCCATCTTGGCACACCAGCAGGTGAGGCGTTTCCCTTGGTTCCGGTTCCACTGAACGCCTTGAGTCTGAACAGACAAAACATCCTGGTTACCAAGGCTCAAAGAATGCATGAGGCGGGAGAAGATAAAACAGGCGGGTCACTGTGGGTTCACAGGAGGGACACATGGTCAGAAGCTCCGGCTGAAGCTTAAAAAAGAAAAAAAAAAAGTGGAGTTAAGTTCTAGAAGGACAATTGAGAAGGCTGAAATTAACTGTAAGGTTAAAAGGACAGTGCCTATGGTTGGCAGTGGTTGGGGAAGGTGATGTGTCCCACCCCGTGGTTCCCAGAGGGGACGAAGTATTGCAGCAGCAGGAAGCACCCCAGGTTTGTTCTAAGTACGTGAAATCAGCTCTGTCATCAGAAAGCATCGTTCTATTTATTCAGCGACAATTGAAACTAAACAAAACTCTGTGTGTTGGGGCGGGGGGTGGGAAACACTAAATTGTTCATGTATTTCTCTAGTATGTGTATTTGTAGGGGGGATGACTTTTCTTGTATTCATTTGAATTTTTCAAATTTCTGAGACCGAGCAAAAAAATAATCACAAGCAAAAACAAAAACACCTCTTTGTTAAGCAAATAAATCAACTACAGAAATAAAAACCCTGAGTATTTTTCATGGTGGACGCTCATATCCAGACAAAACATTTGACTTTCCAAATGGAAACTAAAAATCTGGCCACACACACGCATACGCACACACGCGCACACACACACACATATGCACACACACACAGATTTAAAAAAATTATTATTTAGGGACCAGCAGGTGGTGTGGTAGTTAAGGCCCTGGACTCCCACATGGCCAAGCACAGTTTAAGTCCCGGACCCAGTGGCTTGAAACTTACACCAGGTGCATGTGCATGTGTGCATGCCCAAAATCCAAAGAGGAGAATGGAAAAGAAGGGATTGTGGTGTGGCCATCCCCCCCGGGTGGTGATTTCTCACTTTCTGTCTCTCTGGCTAGCACACATGCCACATAGCAAAAATGTCTCAAACAAATTAAATAATAATTATTTATTTATTTTGCATTTTTGCTGTAGGGTGTGCGCACTCATTGGAGAGAGAGAGAGAAAGCACCCCCAGGGGGTATGGCCATGCTGCAATCCTTTCTCCTCCATTTTCCTCTGAGGATTTTAGGCATGCACATACAAATGCCTGGCGTGTTTTTCAAGTCAGTGGGTCTGGGACTCAAACTGCAGTCAGCCAGGTGGGACCCAGCCACCTTAACCTCCATGTCACTGCTGGTCTCTACCGCATCATTCTTAAGAGCCACATCTTATTCTACTAGTGGCTACCCTTAGGGGAAGGCTATCACAGCCCAAGTTGGGGGAACTGAAGCTTTGGTGGCTGGAAAGGCCAGGGCAAAGGCCCAGAGGTCAGAAAGTACAAGGCCTGATCAGAAGATGACAAAACCCCAGCTAGCAGAAGCGCAGAGAGCAGAGAGAGAGTAGAGCGTAGGAGATGAGGCTCAGGAGCAAGGCAAGGTTGGGACTGGGGCAAGTGGGGCTCCGTCCCAGCCTTCCTGAACCATCTTGGGCAAGTCCCTTCCTTTTCTGAGTCTCAGATTTCTTCCAGCAGTGGCCAACCTGCCGGCTTCCCAGGACTGCAGTGGGTTTCCGCCACTCCTGGCCTGGCCAGCCCTTGGTAGACGCGTGAAGCCGAGAGGTTATCTGCTCCCTTTCCCCAAGGCTCTGCTCAGGGCTTTCTGAAGGGTCTTCCCGTGTCTATTGATGGACTAATTTGTAAAACATTAAGCTAAACTTGAAATGGATTGATCTCCCACTCACTCTCCAAACTCATGGGTGCTTCATCTTAAAAAAATCTATACCTATATCTATATCATCTATCTACCTACCTACCTATCTATCTATCATCTATCTATCTCTATCTATCTGCCTTCCTGGGAGCCAGATGGTCATGCAACAGTCAAATGTGATACTCTGTGAGGTTGACCCACATGGGAAGGTTCTGGGTTTGTGTCCAGAAACCTCCCTGAATACACTGGGCATGCATGTGCCCACGATACAGGGCTGGCTGAGGCTGGGGGTGGATTGTGGCACTGTGACCCTACTGGGTGCTGTCTCTTTTGCTCATGGAACAACTAAATAAATAAGCTTAAAAAAATCTGCCTGGGGCCAGCAGGTGGCATGGTAGTTAAGGCATTAGACTCCCACGTGACTGACCACAGTTCAAATCCTAGACCTAGCGACTTGCTTTCTCACTTTCCTCCCTTTCCCTCTCTGTCTCTCTGATGAGTGCACATGCCCTGTAGCAAATTAATAATAATGATGATGATGATAAATAAAAATAAATAATTCTCTTAAAAAATCTGCCTGGAGGAGAAAAAGCTTCAATTTCAGAAAGCAAACCTGAGTCACCAACTCAAAAACACACTCCCAAGTCTGAAGGACATTAGCACACTGTCTTCTGAGCTCTTGCTGTGTTCCAGGTACTGGGCTAGCCCTGGGGCTAAGAGCACCCACCTGCAATGGAGGCTATCCAGCCCCCACCTTACTGATGAGCCAACAGATGCTCAGAGAGGTGATGTCAGCTGCCCAAGGTCACCTGTCTGGAAATGGAAGAACTGGGTCCAGAGCGCATACTGCCCGATTCGGGACAAAGCACCTAAGGACACGTGCTTCCAGGAGGAAGTCTGTTTGGAACCCTCTTCCCTGAGTGGTCACAGATGGAAATGAGGGTCCCTCCTGCACCTACTCATCCCAGGCTCTACCTGGAAAATCTCCAGCTGAGTTTTCTTCCCACTGGTTCCCACAGAAAATGTGAAGTTGAGGTGGACTATCTGGAATTTTCTTCCCTCCAAACATCCTGGAGAGTGAGGTGCCATCCTTTCCCACGGGAGGCTGGTGTGCTGGCTCCCCAAATCATGCAGTCCTGGGTTCCGGGCACTCCAGTGACTTCATTTCGGTGCAAGGCCTGGGCTCAGAAAGCCCAACGGGCTGAGTGAGCGAGCCTCCTCCCCTTGATGGCAGCTTGGGACAGAGTGGATGGCCTTGGTCAGGAGGGCTGGGCTGGAGCTTTGCAGGTGGCTGTGGGTTTCTGGGGCCCTCTCCTCTCCTGCCATCTGTGCTTCCCCATCCTGAACAGTGGGGAGACTTTCCATAATCTGTCTTTGGAGAACGTGAGCTATAGTTCTCTCATCACACCTCGAGTAAAAAATTAAACATTAAAAATGACAGAGACCAGCAGATGGCAAAATGGTTACATCACTGGACTCCCATGTAGTACCGTAGTATGAGTCCCAGACCCGGTTGCTTAAAACTCATGCCAGGCACGTGTGCGTGCGTGCTCAAGATCTCAAGAGTAGAAAGGAAGAGAAGGGATTGCAGTTGGCCATTTACCCTAGGTGGGGCAGTGATTTCTTGGATTATGGTGGCCATTTCCCCTAGGGGGTGATTTCTCACTTTCCGTCTCTCTGTCTTTCCAGTGAGTACACACACCCCCTAGTACTCTCCAAAAAAGAAAAAAATCAAAATGACACTGAGATCCCATTTTCACCCAAGGAGATAGGTGCATATTAATTATTCTCATTATTATTATTATTTTAGTTTTTGCTATAGGGCACATGCACTTGTCACAGAGAGACAGAGAGAAACAACAAATGAGACAGAGAGAAAAAGAAAATGCGAAATGACCCTAGTGGGGGACACCCAAGCCGCAATCCCCTCTCTTCCATTCTTCTCTTGGAGTGTTGGGTGTGTACACGCACCTGGCCTGTCTTCAAGCCTCTGGGTCCTGGACTTGAACTGTGGAGATGGCCATGTGGAATCCAGCGCCTTAACCCTCACGCCAACTGCTGGCCCCGATAGGTGAATATACGTATACTTTTTAGTTTGTTTGTTTGTTTGTTTTTGCCATAGGCATGTACACTCCCAGAGAGACAGAGAGGAAATGGGGTGGAGGGGGCGGGGACGGCTACACCATAACCCCTTCTCCTCTCGGAATTTTAGGCACACAGGCACAGACACCCAGTGTGATTCTTAAGCCGCTGGGTCCAGGATTTGAATCATGGTTAGTCATGTGGGACTCCAGTGCTTTAACTACCATGCCACCTGCTGGGCCTGACAGGTGGATATTTTCCAATCTGAACACGTCATCATTGGTAGTAAGATATGGCGCAGTAGGGATGATCACCTGCCCTGGCAGGGCATTCATCGGAGCACACAGTCAGGTGGTATTCCTACAGCTAAAGACGCGATGACTACCTGGTGACACAGACATTCCGTGCCTGGGTATGCGTGACAGAGAAATTCTTCTCTGTGTTTGCCAGCAGACAGGAACGAGAATAGCTTAGAAGCAACGATTAGAAAGCAAACACTTAGAAACGACGCCGTGTTCGTTGGCAGAGGAAGGGCGGCCCGTGTGAGTCCCCACCGAGTGCTACACACTCAGAAAGCACACGGAGCAAGCCCAGCTCACACGGCCGACCGGCGACGCGCGCAAGCAAGACCGAGTGCCAAAGTCAGGCACAGGCAAGACGGAACAGACCACTTAGAAAAATAAACACGTGGCAAGACCATAAGGAAACGCAGAGCAATAATGAATACAAGATTCAGGATAGCTCTCTCCTGGAGGGTAAAGGAAGTGGGAATGTAATCAGGGAGGGGCTTTACAGGGATCAAAGAAATTCTGTTCTTTAAGATGGTGGTGGGGACATGAGTATTTATTCATTAGTTTTTGTTTTTTTTTTTAAAGAATTATTAATTGGGACCAGCAGGTGGCATGGTAGTAAGGCTCAGGAATCCCATATGGCTGGGGCCTACAGGTGGCGTGGAGGGTAAGGTGCTGGACTCTCACATGGCTGACTGCAGTTTGAGTCCTGGACCTGACAGCTTCCCTCTCTCTCTCTCTCCCTTCCTCCCTCTCTGGTCAAAGCAAAATAAATCAATAAAGTTAAATAAAATAGTTCTTTGAAAAAATAAGGAATCCCACGTGGCTGACTGTGGTTCAAGTCCTGGACCTGGTGGCTTGCTCTCTCACCTTTCCCTTGGTCTCTCTGGTGCAAATATGTGTCCTGTAGTAAATTTAAATAATAATAATAACACATTAACAGTTTAAAAATGATTAATTTGGGGACCAGCTGTTGGCGTAATGGCTATGTTGCTGGACTCCCATGTGGTT